AAGTTGCCTGTGACATCCGTAAAGTAGTTTGAGACCTATTTTACAATTTGAACTATATACTATATAATTGCATTACTATATTTATCTAGTTTTGTTTGGACGAAGTGTATCTATATTTTCATTTAAAAGACAAGCTAATGGTGCTCCCCTCACCTATTAAACTAAATAAATCATATCAAAAAGAGGGGGAAATGTTTCAAACCACTAAAATCAAACTCATTTACAATATCAAACCCATAAAACTCTAGAAATCAAACCAATTAAACCAAACTCATTTAAGAAGTCTTAATTGAACTGAATAAATCATTTCAGACCCTAGAGCATGAGTGAAAAATGGGAAAATAGAGGGAGAATATTAAACCCTAGAGCAAGAGTGAGAAATGGGGAAATAGAGAAAGAATATCAAACCCTAGAGCAAGAGTGAGAAATGGGGAAATATATATATATAGAGAGAGAACCTGGAATTGTGGCTGTGGCGGTGGTGATTTGTGGCGATGGCTGTAGCAATGTGCGATGCAGGTATGCTTCGTGGTGGTGAGCAACTATTGTGAGGAGGTGAGGTAAGGTGAGGTGAGGTGGTGCCTGAGATTCTCTATAAGAGAGAGATTTGAAACTCTTTGTATTCCTGTTCTACTTCAGACCAGGGCGCCAATCTATATCACTAAAATTTTACACCTTTGGCGACAAAATTCACTTTTTGTAGGAAAATCTTAATTTATAACGACTAAACTATTTGGTAGCCAAAACTTAAGTAACGATAACTAAAATGTTAGTCACCGAAAGTACCAATTTGGCGGCCTTTTTTTTTTTTTTGTCGGGAAAAATGAGTATATGATGACTAAATTTTTTTTATTTGTGACCAAAATAGTTCAATAACAATTAAAACAACATAGTTTTATTTTCTGCTAATTTTTTTTTTATTTCCACATTTTTTTTGGTCTTCCCTCTGACTTTTGCAGACCAAATTTCAATTTCGGTCCTAGAAAATTATATTTTGACAACTAAAAAATATTAGTCGGCAAAACTTGAAACCTTTGTCTACCAAATTTTTATTTAGTCGCCAAATGAAATCTTTTTGTAACTAAATAAAAGTTAGTTGGCAAAATTGGTTGAAAAAAATGTAAATTCCTGTAGTGGAAGGTAGATGTGAAGCCCGTGCCATGGTGGTAGTGAAGGTGACAGTGACCATATCGATGGTGGTGTGGTAGTGGACGTGAAAGTGATAGTGGTGATGGTGGTGTGATGACATTAATAAAATTTTAATCCAAAAGTGAAAAATATTTGCTCTCAAAATAGACTTATTTTTTATTAATCATGAAAAATATTTTCATCGACTTCTATTTTTTATTATATCAAATATCAAAAAAATACAAAAAAAAAAGTAATAATAATAAATATAAGAGGACATGATATTTAAGGGGTTGTTTAGGATGATATATTTTTTGAATTTTTATGAAATATGAGTTGGATTTGGATTAGATATAAAGTGATGCGCAAGGATCCTCTAGAGTAATCCTCTAGAGTGATCTCCTAAAGTGGATGATCGGATGGTTGATCTTAATACTCACCAAAACGACGTCGTTTCGGTGAGTATTTTGAAAAAAAAAAAAAAACAAAAAAATCAACAATATCTGGGTTCACTTTCACTCTGTTCTGGGAAGAGTTAGAGAGAGAGAAGGGACCAAAGCTTTGATTTTGCTTTGTTCTTTCATGTCCTCTTGAAATCTCACGGTTGAATAGTAGTGATGGAGAGATCTGAAAGACTTCCTCCGCCGATCGTAAATCTACGATCAATTCTACAAATTTTCTCGTTGTTTTGGAGGGATTTGATTTGATAGAAGAATTCTCTGCAAATTTCGATTCGACGAAGCTCTTTTTTCTGTAAGTTCATCTTCAATCTCTGCCTCTTATTGGGTATTGAACGTTGTGGTTCTTTGCTGTTGGATTTTGCTGGGTTTTGTTTTTGGAGATCAGATCTGTGGCATTTAGGCTTGTTTCAATTGGGTATATATATATATATATATGACGCAGAAGCCATTGCTGTTGGATTTTGCTGGGTTTTGTTTTTGGAGATCAGATCTGTGGCATTTAGGCTTGTTTCAATTGGGTATATATATATATATATATGACGCAGAAGCCATTGCTGTTGGATTTTGCTGGGTTTTGTTTTTGGAGATCAGATCTGTGGCATTTAGGCTTGTTTCAATTGGGTATATATATATATATATATGACGCAGAAGCCATTGCTGTTGGATTTTGCTGGGTTTTGTTTTTGGAGATCAGATCTGTGGCATTTAGGCTTGTTTCAATTGGGTATATATATATATATATATGACGCAGAAGCCATTGCTGTTGGATTTTGCTGGGTTTTGTTTTTGGAGATCAGATCTGTGGCATTTAGGCTTGTTTCAATTGGGTATATATATATATATATATGACGCAGAAGCCATTGCTGTTGGATTTTGCTGGGTTTTGTTTTTGGAGATCAGATCTGTGGCATTTAGGCTTGTTTCAATTGGGTATATATATATATATATATGACGCAGAAGCCATTGCTGTTGGATTTTGCTGGGTTTTGTTTTTGGAGATCAGATCTGTGGCATTTAGGCTTGTTTCAATTGGGTATATATATATATATATATGACGCAGAAGCCATTGCTGTTGGATTTTGCTGGGTTTTGTTTTTGGAGATCAGATCTGTGGCATTTAGGCTTGTTTCAATTGGGTATATATATATATATATATGACGCAGAAGCCATTGCTGTTGGATTTTGCTGGGTTTTGTTTTTGGAGATCAGATCTGTGGCATTTAGGCTTGTTTCAATTGGGTATATATATATATATATATGACGCAGAAGCCATTGCTGTTGGATTTTGCTGGGTTTTGTTTTTGGAGATCAGATCTGTGGCATTTAGGCTTGTTTCAATTGGGTATATATATATATGTGGAGGATTGCTCTATTTGTAAAGAGGTTGCTAGCACCCCCATGAAGCTAGAGCATAGTGGAAAATCTCAAGTGAAGCTTGAGGAGTGGACGTAGGCTGAGTTGAAACCGAACCACTAGAAATTTGTTTGCCCTTCTCTCCCTTATCTCTTTATTTTATTTAAATTGTCATAACTATATTTCACATTTTTACTGTGCTAAAATCATTAACTGACATAGTTGTTAGAACACTTGTTTTAATTATTTTTATTTCATTAACTATATTTATCTATTGTGCTAGTCATAATTTTTATTAAGGTATTATTATTTTTATATGTAAAAACCTAAATCACCCCCCTCTCAGGTTGTCTTTTAGGTAACAATTACATTTTCAAAATCAATGGGACTAATTGGTGTATAAAAAAACTCTTGGAACTAATCATATTATACCATTTTTCAAGATGATATTTATAGGTAAATTTTCCATTATTAAAATTATTTTTGGGTGAATAACCATTATTGAAATTATGATATCATTCAAAACAAAACAGTTCTTTCCTAACATATTCTTAACAAAAAAAACTTAGATAACACTATTGTAGTAGGAACTTAAAAGTATATCTCCAATCAAGATATATATATTTATATATATATCATTGTTTAGGTCACAATCCAAGTTGTAATATCTAACGGTCTGCCTCCTCTCCAGTCATGTCCTGTCTAGCCATGTCTTGTACTCTCCAGCAGATGAAGACGCGTGGCAATTAGGGATGCAAAGGGAAGGGATATGCCACGTTTTGTGCATGTCGGACGATCGACAGGACGACCACTCGGACGTCCAACATGACAACCACTCGGATGGCCGGTGCAACACTTGTCTACCGCGGCTGTTGCCCCTATCAACCGCACCGGTCTACCGCGGTTGTCGCCCCTATCGACCGCGGCTGTCACTCTTATCGATCGTGACTATCACCTTATTGCTGGATGACCGATCTGATGATCGATAAGAGAGTATAGGATAATGGCTAAATTGAATAGTGCTAGAGAGGAGGCGGATCCATTGGTAGTACTTAGCTGTGATAATTGTCCAAACTTACATGAGAAAACTACATTCTTTCTTTATTTTTATTTATTTATTTATTTTTTGTCATATTATGTGGAACATATATTAGGTTCGTTTGTTTTGATGTAAAATATTTTATTAATTTTTTGTTGTTTGGTTAACTAAAAAGCAAATAAAATATTTTTTAAGAAATTTTTTTTACATCATTTTTCTAAAAATGACTTATCTTTAAAAATTTTATAAGTCAATTTTTACAAAGTTGACTCTCACTCATTACATTTTCAATACATTGGTCTTTTCAAATAAGGAGGAGGACTATAGGGGTTGTTTGGCCACGTGGGGCTAATTACGGATCTCGTTTAAATGATTCGAACCATTCATTTTATCAGGGCACTTTGTATATTTTATTCATAAAAAAAATTAAGTCAATCCGATAATTTTAACTTGTTCAATTTATTTATTTATTTTTTGTGATAAAAAAAATGTATGGTTTATTTTAAAACACAATTGCCATCCATTTTTTTTAGTAAAAACACTAAATTAAAATAAGTTACAACTATCGGATCGACCTAAACTTTTTTTATGAATGAAATACATGAAGTGTCCAACAAAATGAATAATTTAGATCATCGAAACAAGGTCTATGGTAGATTCCACGGGCCCAAATAGCCCCCTCCATTTGATTGGAGGGAATCCTCCTCCAAATAAATATATTTGCTCACTAGAAAAATCACAAATGACACTTTATTTAATCAAAATTTTTTCTTTAAGTAATAAATATTTTTATTTCAAATGTCAACCAAACGTTGAAAAACAAAAACAACGCATTTTTTTTTTGTGTGGAAAATATTTTACGTCAAAACAAAGTAGTTAGTTTTGTTAAAAAAAAAAAAATTAGAAAAGCAAACTGAAGTAAACAAATAAAATAAAATAAAATAATAAAAAATAAATAAAGGTGAGATATTAGGTGGAGTGTTTTTAAAATGTTAAATTGCTACATAATTGTCCCGAAATCACATCCCCAGATTTAGATGTTTGGTCTGAGATATTCTTACTATTCATTGAAAAGTTGGAGACCATTAACACAGAGTATCGTCTATTTCTTGCAATCTCTGTTTTACATATACCTACTTGTTCCTCCTTTGTTTTAGTTCTTGTTTGCAAACTCTTGCTTTGAATTACCTTCATAAAGCAAGCCTGAAGAAAACTAGTAGTAGTCTACTACTAACATGTCCATTGAAATTGGACTCTCAACCCACATCATTCTCACTTGTCTCATCATCAACGTTGTAGATAGTACCGAAACACTTGTCAAAATTGGCGGTGGAGGCGACAGTGGTGGCGAAGAGTACGTCTATGGATACAGTAGTCCACCATTTACATTCCAAGCCTCGGCAGCACCACTGCTGATCCCTCCAGTGCCAGTGCCAGCGGCACCACCGCAAGCACTGCCACTGCGGCCTCCGCCTGCTCCACAAAAACCACTCGTTTTTGCGGACCAAAGGCTGGCCGTGGTTTACCCTGTAATCCAAAAATTCAAGACCACCATCATATCAGATCCTCTAGGCATCATCAAAACCTGGGTAGGCACAGATATATGCAACTACAAAGGCTTTTACTGTGACAGCCCTCCAGACAACAAGACTGCTATTGCTCTTGCATCGGTTGATTTCAATGGATTCCAACTAAACGCCCCTACCCTCGATGGCTTCCTGGACCAGCTACCAGATATCGCTCTCTTCCACGCCAATTCCAATAATTTTGCCGGCTCAATCCCAACAACCATTGCTAAGCTTCCATATCTTTACGAGCTTGACATAAGCAACAACAAGTTTTCTGGGTCATTTCCAAGTGCCATTCTGGGTATGAAGGGCCTATCTTTCTTGGACATTCGTTTCAATCTTTTTACTGGGTCAGTTCCAGCTGAACTATTCAATCAAAACATCGATGTACTCTTCATCAACAACAACTACTTCACGCAAAAGCTGCCTGATAACCTAGGCACCAGTCATGTGCTCCTCTATCTCGCCATAGCCAACAACCAATTCACTGGGTCAATCCCGCCAAGCATCTCTAAAGCCTTGTCCACTCTGACCGAAGTTCTGTTGTTGAACAACAAGCTGAGCGGTTGTCTTCCATATGAGCTAGGGCTTCTCAAAGAGGCTGTAGTGGTCGACGCCGGCAACAACCAAATCACTGGGCCAATACCCTTCTCATTGGGATGCTTGGAAAAGGTGGAGGTGCTGAATTTTGCTGGGAACTTCTTGTATGGTATGGTACCAGAGGTCGTCTGTGCGCTTGGAAATTTGGCGAATTTGTCGCTATCTGATAACTACTTCACGGAGGTTGGGCCAATTTGCAGGGAATTGATCAAGATAGGAGTACTTGATGTAATGAAGAACTGCATTCCTGATCTGCCATTTCAAAGACCACTGGCTGAATGTGTGGCTTTCTTTGCACGCCCAAGGTATTATTGTCCCGACATGGCCACCTATGCTTACATTCCTTGTTGGCTTCCCCCTTTTAGCTTTCCTCTGCCTGCTCCTTCGCCTTATTCTTGATCTGATTATCATGATAATCAGTAAGTGATTTGGGTATTTATTATTATGTTTGTTAGTCTCAATTCTGCTAGTTGAATAAATATATATATGACAAATCATTTGTTCACTTATTTGTTTGTGATGAATTTACTTCTTGAATTAGGATGAGAATATATCTGAAGACTATCAATTGTCACCTTCATGTAACGAGCAAGGATCCTCTAGAGTGATTTTTTCCTAAAGTTTCCTAGAGTACTACATTGTGTGGTTGAGATTTACTGGCAAGTCACATCAATTTTTCTGATGTGACTTGTCAGTAAATCTCAACCACACAATGTAGCACTCTAGGAAACTTTAGGAAAATTTCACTCTAGAGGATCCTTGGTGTCATGTAACAAGCATGCCCAATATTGGTCTAGATAATTAGGCCTTGTTTGGGAACTACATGTTTTAGCCAAAAAGTCAAAAAGTCACTATAAGTTGTTCTATCACTCTTTATACTTTTATGCACATCTTTTCATAAAAAATAAAAAAATTATTAAAATAGTATGTTCTCAAATAAGGTCTTAATGATGATCTCAATGACCATAGCCATCATAGATACTTGAAAAAAGTATTCAAAAGTTATAATGATATGTGAATCAGTTAATTATTTTGAGTCTGACGTGGATCATACTAAAATTAAATTTAAGATTTAAAGTATTTTTATGGATAAATAGTCTTTTTTGAATGAGAATTGTGATATTGTCACAATCTATGAGTGAAGATCCTTTTTAGAATTTATTTGAAGTGCAATTTATAGTACTTTTATTGTGAGCTTGCCATGTCAAAAGTGAATCAAATGGAGGGCTGAGATGAGATGAGCCTTACCAAAATTGAATTTGGGTTTGGAACTAGAGCAAGGATCCTCTAGAGTTTTTTTTTCTTAAAGTTTTCTAGAGTGGTGCATTGTGTGGTTAATGACAAGTCACATCAATTTTCTAACATTAAATCTCAACCACACAATACACCACTTTAAGAAACTTTAGGAAAAAAATACTCTAGAGGATCCTTGGTGTTGGAACTAACAACGAAAGGGAAGTAACCGGAGAGAATAAGACACGAGAAGACGGTGACCACCAGTGGCGGAGAGAATCACGTGCCCCTTGGTTTTGGATTTTTTTTTTTTAAACATAAAGAAAATATTTTTTAAAAAAATTTATAAAAATATTATTTAGAGTGAAATGTGAATGACATTTTAAAAATTATATGAGAACAACAATGGGTTTTTTGATTAAAAATAACGAGACTACGATAAGTCGTGTTATTATTTATGAAAATTTTAATGTAATGGTAACGTCTATTATTATTGACATATAAACATAATTAATCTCAATAAAATATGTAATTTATTAGATTATTAGTTACATTTGACATATGAGATTTATCATCTATGTGTTAATGATGGCGTAATATTACTATTATATTGAGTTTTTACTCAAATTTTTTTTAAAAATTACTGTATCATTATATAATTTATTTTTAAACTTATATTCATGACTTTATCCATGATACACTACTGACAAATAACAATAAGTACGTTTGGTTTCAGTTTTTTAAAAACTAAGTTTTTTGTTTTTCATTTTTTTTAGATGTATCTTATTTAGATGTATCTAAATATTAAAATATTTTTGAAAAAATATTTTAAAAATTAATAAATACGCAAATTACGAAAAATATATTGAATTTTCACATTTTTTAAATATATTTTTTGGTATTAGTGTATTTTTTAAAGATTTTTTTCACAAATATTATACTTTTTAAGTGTATTTATGTTAGGTGTGTCTAAAAATTAAAAACATTTTCTTAAAATATTAAATAACAATTCATTGAAAACATTAGAATACGACAAATATAAAGTAGAATTTTCTGAAAACTGTTTTCAGAAAACCAAAATCAAACAAAGTGACTATTTATTTATTTTTAATATTTCTTGAAGTCAATCGAAAAATTTATATGAAATGTTTTTGTAAAAATTTTCAATGTAATAATTAATAAGTGTCCCTCTGATTTAATTTCTTAGCTCCGCCATTAATAATGTAATAACCCGACCCTCGTATATGTTTCTGGTATATTTTTAGTCCCTTATTCTGTGCCGCGATATTGCTTATTGTGAAATTTCATGTGAAATTAAGTTTACTTGGGCGAATCTTATGATTAGAAATTCCTATCTGTCTCCTAAGAAAAATATCTGTTATAATTGTAATGTTCAGATCAGAAATTGAAAGCTTAGAGGCTTGGTAATCCAAAATTGACTCTATATTTGAGATCAGTATAATTTTTAGATCATAATCTATACTATATATTAAGTAAAAGGGAGTTTTTAACCCCCAAGGCCTGTGAGAGTTTCAATATGCTAATCCTAATTTTCTAATTTTTTGTTAAAAAAAAAAAAAAATTAACCTCAACATTTATTAACTTCTCTCAACCCACAAGACTTTTTGACTTCTTTCATAATTACTACAGTACCTTTTCCAAAACAAATAACATGTATATTCAAAAAAATTTAAAACAAATATAAATATCTATATCTATATCTATCTATTTATTTATATCTATCTCTAACCCACAAATTTTGTGGGAGTTCCAATATGTGAACTTTAATTTCTTATTTTTTTTTTTATTTTTTTTGAAAAAAAAAAACTTAGCACTTATTAAATTCTTCCAAATCTTTTTAACTTCTCCAATACACACACTCTTTTTAACTTTTCACATACCTATTGCAAACAGTGATTTTTTTAACCCACTGTGTTTTTTGAAAAAAAGTTATTGTGTTTTTTTAACTATCAATTCACTTAATTTGTGATTTGATTTTTAACTTACTGTGCTTTTTGAAAAACAAAATGGATTGTACTCATTGGGGTCACATAATGTACCAATTATTGATGATGATTAGATTGTATTTTGACAAAAAAAAAAAAAATTGTAATTGATCTTTTTCACTCACTATGTTTTTTGAAAAATAAATTATTATGTTTTCTAATTATCAATTGACTTAATTTGTGATTGATTTTTTTAATTATTGATGATGATTAGATAGCATTAAAAAAATTGTGATTTGTATGATTGAAGTTATCTCCTTTTGTTTATAATTTTATTTTTTTAATATGATTGAAGTTAACTCACAAAAAGAAAAATATGATTGTAGTTTGTTCAACGGCTCTAAATAATATTTTTATTTACTATTTTAATGGTTATTTTTTTCAATTATTTTTTTTATTATGAGGAAAATATGATTGTAGTTAGATAGCATTAAAAAAATTGTGACTTATATGATTGAAGTTATCTCATTTTGTTTATAGTTTAATTTTTTTAATATGATTGAAGTAAGATAAACATAAACACTCACAAAAAGAAAAGTATGATTGTAGTTTGTTAAATGCTTCTAAATAATCTTTTTATTTATTATTTTAATGGTTCTTTTTTTCAATTATTTTTTTTATTATGAGAAAAATGTGATTGCAGTTAGATAGCATTAAAAAAAAAATGTGATTTGTATGATTGAGTTATCTCTTTTTTGTTTATAATTTGATTTTTTATATGATTGAAGTTAGTAAACATAAGCACCACAAAAAGAAAAATGTGATTGTACTTTGTTCAAACTCTAAATAATATTTTTATTTACTATTTCTAATGGTTCTGTTTTCAATTATTTTTTTTATTATGAGAAAAAATATTATTGTAGTTAGATAGCATTAAAAAAATTGTGATTTGTATGATTGAAGTTATCTCTTTTTGTTTATAATTTGATTTTTTAATATGATTGAAGTAAGAATAAACATAAACACTCATAAAAAGAAAAATGTGATTGTAATTTGTTCAATACTTCTAAATATATTTATTTACTATTTTAATGCTTCTTTTTTAAAGTTATTTTTTTTATTATGAGAAAAAATATGATGTAAATTAGATTTAGCAATTAAAAAAATTATGATTTGTATGATTGAGTTATCTCCTTTTGTTCTATAATTTGATTTTTTAATATGATGAAATTAGATAACATACAATAAACTCACAAAAAGAAAAAAATGTGATTGTAGTTTGGTTCAATGGCTCTAAATAATCTTTTATTTTACTATTTTAATGGTTTTTTTTCTAATAATTTATTTATTATGAGAAAAATGTGATTGTTATTGGGTATACCTCCTTATTGGAGTGTGGGACCCAATTGGTTTGTTAAAAGAATTTAATTTGACTTGGTTTTAGATTATACTATATTTTTATAATTTATATTGTGGAACCCAATCTAATTTGGTAACAATTAAGATTTCGATTACAAAACCTAAGCATTCAATAATATATTCAATATATATTGATTCGAGTGTGCGAGTTGGTGTATAGCAATTGGGGAAGATTTGTCCAGGTGCTTGATTTGTTCAGGTTTTTTGTTTCCTTTATCTGCAAGCTTTTGATTTGGTTCGTTATTTTTGGGTTCTTTTTCAAATTTTGATTTATGAAAGATGATGAATGGAAAATAGGCTTAAGATGATGAATGGAAGATGATGAATGGAAAGGCTTAATCGAAAAGCCGTTGGTGTTATCCGTCATTGGTATGGATGACAGTGTGTTTTTCATCATGTTGCTACTAAAACTTCAGCACATGAATTTATGGAAAAAATTAGAGGGTCTTTATGATGGAAATCAGCACACAAATAAGTCTTTCTGTTTCGTTAAGTTGGTTATTTAAAATATAAAGAGGGCCCTATTCCGGAACATCTGAATGAAATCAAAAGTTGCTTCTATGAAATTGTTTTTGATGATGAGTTGCAGGCTTGATGCTACTTAGTTCTTTGCCCGAAAGTGGGAGACTTTGGTTGTGATGTTAGTAATTCGGCGCCCGATGGAGTCTGTCACAATAGGCAAGTCACTAGTAGAGCCTGTGAATGAAGAAACTAGAAGAAATCAGCAGGTTCCTCTCATTCAGAAGCATTTGTTGTGAGAGGCCGAAGCAAAACAAGAGGGAGGATAAACTCCTCATGGTCGTGATCAAAGCGTGATAAATCAAAAGATGGTTCTTTTTCAAGAAAGACATTGAGCGCTATTATTGCCATTGAGAAAGGGCACATGAAGCGGGAATGCCGAAAGCTC